AACTGAAAGGCAATGGAGGTATCAAATCAAAATGAGATTTTAGTGACAATAATTCATTTAGTAAAAAAACACCCATTGAGCACTCATGTTTCAAGTGACTGTGTGGACTAGCAGAAACCTGATTTATAAATCTGCTTATTTTTTCTCTACAGCTATACTGTGCTTTTTAAGCTGTAACATTCATAATTAAATGTGAAATGGGTTTTAAAAAGTAAGCAAGCAAGCAGTGGCTAAAATTTATTATCACATAAAGCATATAAATTACTAGAAGGGACTGTCCATGAAAATTATGTTCTAGATACTTGATCTCTAAAAAATAATTTGTTCTAGCGGGAGGCTCTATCTCAGCAGTAGAGCTCATGCTTAGTATAAGCACGAGGTCCTGGGTTCGACTCCCAGTACCTCCATTAAAGATAAATAAACAAATAAACCTAATTACCTTTTCCCATAAAAAAATTAATAAAGAAATTAAACTGCAATTAAAAAATTAAAAAAAAGTTGTTCTTAGGCTTAGGTAAAGTTATAAAGTAATATATATAAATACATAAAATATAAAAGATATGATTCAATAAATATGAACATGTACCATATTTAAATAAGATACTCAAATTCCATGTAGGAATTGAAATTCTTGGAAACACTGTACATACCTAATATTCTATAAAGAAAAAATTGCAAACCAAAGTTATGACAAATTTTTGACACATCAATAAAGAACTACCCTTTCTATCATAGCTTTTTGGAAACTTAAACATTAATACTCATTTAAATTCCATTATAAACTTGAAATTAGTTTTTAATAACTGCAACACAAGAAATAACTTAAACTACAGTAATGACATAAGTAATTTACGTTTTCCAGACTGGCTACAAAGGTAAAATTCCTTGTTACCTGAATGCTGAAAATGCATGCAATTCTGATTGCACATCTTATACCTTCCAGGCAAAGAGAGGCTACTTCAGTATCATCACAATCTTGTAGACCCACACTGAACGCAGCCAGAAAAGGTGTCCAAGCCAACTAGATAAATTAAAATTTGAAATGTATTACGAACACCAAATGATAATTAAACTTTATGATAATACTACATTAACTTTTCTCAAAGCTTTCAGACAATAAATGATTTGAGAAGTTCTGAAAAAAAGCAATGAGTTCCTTGGCATAGTTATTTGGAAAGATTTCTCAGACAAAGGAGAAACTATCTAATGCTGCCTGGGCTTAAATAAGTGGGAGAGCAAGATTATAAATTCAGGAGAGCACACTAGGCATATTTTAAGCACTGCAACTATAAATTATTCACAGTAATAAAAAATGGGAATAGTCAATACTCATAAATTATATTAATTTTACCCCCATCTGCAGAATTCATCTCTCTCTGCAAGCTTTGTCCCTTGCAATATTTCAAAGATTTTTTATTTCCAAGAAAATTCCTTTAGCCATTTTCTACTTGTAACAGTTACATCACTCTCTTTTCTTTAAGCCCGTTCCCTGGACATCATTTAGCTTTATTATTATTATTTTTTGTAGTCAAGTATTTAACCAGTGATATCTCTGGCTCCTAGTTGGACAATATTTTTAAAATATAGTTCAATAAAACACATCTTTATTATAGACTGTGAAAGCTAACAGACACTAAGTTTTATCAAAACTGAATGAATACCTAGTGAAATTGTAATATAAAACAAAAAGAGTTGCCTTTAATTAGTGAAAATCCTAATATCAAAACATATGTGTATATACTGGTATGTGCATCTGTGTGTATAACTTTGGAATGTCTCATACAAGAGTATTTGTTGCTTTTTATTAAGTTAAAATGAAGGAAAGCTATAGATCCATATAACCATACAGATGAAAAATGTTTATACCAGTGTGATATAGAAATGACAATTGGGATTTTTTTTAAAGATCTAAAAAGTTGTTAGTATTAAGGAATACAGAACTACCCAAAGCTTTGCTTGTAACGTGAGAAAGTTTAGAAGTAAAAGCGTATAATTTCTAAACAAAGGTACATAAGCCACGGTACCTAACTTCTAGTTCAAGCCTTCTGACTTATTTAAACTATTTCTTTTTTTTTTAATTGAAGTAGTTGGTTACAATGTGTCAATTTCTGCTGTACAGCACAATAAAAAAATTTTTATTTGCTATCTTCTAAATAATACAGCTTTCACTTCTGGGTCTATGCTAATGGACTATATCACTTCATTTTCTCAAATTAAAAATATGCTGAACAGCAGTATATATAAATGAATACGCTGCAACCAAAAGTTACTAGCACCTCTTACCTTAAACATGGGTCGCACATGCTCCAAATGCGTTGCACTCGTGAAAGGTGCCTGAACATGGCTCACGGCCTCCATGAGGGCTTTAGCTGTCTTGGCCATCTGTTCCATTTCTAAGTTATAGAGCAGTCTTCTTTGTTTTTCACTGGCTACATCTGAAACAACAAACACTATTACCATTAAAATATAAGACATTTAGGAATGCTATTTTGATATTTTAGGATAAAACAGCAAACACCACCAATTAGCACTAACTAAAAGTAGTCCTAAGAAGTCAGACACAAAAGGTTACATAATGTATGACTCCACTTAGATGAAATACCCAGAGCAGGTAAATCCATAGAAACAAAAAGCGTCCCGGGGTGACAGCCAGGGGCTGGGGAAACGGAGGGGACGTGGAGTAACTGCTTAATGGATACAGGGTTGTATTTTGGGATGTTGAAAATGTTTTGGAATTACATAGAGGCAGTGGTTACACAGCACTGTGAATGTACTAAATACCACTAATTGTTTACTTCAAAATGGTTAATTTTATATTATATGAATTTCACTCCAAAAATAAAATTAAAAAACACCCTGAACTAGGAGTCGGGATGTGTGGAAAACCTATGAAAGGGAAGAGAGCAGGTACAAATCTTCCACAATGAAAATATTAGGGAAATAACACAAATGCGGGCTAGGAGACGAGAAGAGAGGTATGAACCCCTGCCTGAGTGGCATCCCGAGTTAACAAGGAAACAGTGGCCCTAACACTCTGGGATGGTTGTAACATCTCAGCACAGCACCACCTCCTTCCCTTATCCAGCCTCTCAGTGACTTCCCACCCTCACACACAAACAGGCCACAGAAAGAGGGGTATGAAGATTTTATTATCTGGCTCTGAAGAAAAAGATGAAATCAGGTAACTGGCATCTACTTAGGTACAAAAAAGATGTCCTGATCAATATACTTAACAATTTTTGAAGCAGAAGAAGACAACAAGACCAAGAAAACTGCTGACTGGTACTGGACTGCAGTAAGAGTGAAGGATGCCGAGTTCAGGATTTGGCTTTGCCACCCTTCGGGTTTTAGGTATAGGGATTTAATAAAAGTTTTTACATTACACTCGGCTCATAGATTCTATGATTCTCAGTTTTCTAAACTCTCTGAACTTCTGTTTCCTCAGCTATAAAGCGAGGGAGAACTTAACATTTAGGCTATTTATACTCCACTATTCCTTCCACCATTATCTCAAAACCTCTGACTCTCATAGTTTTTCATCAACTTCTAGAAATACACAGAAGACACAAGTCTTTTTGATTCTCTCCTGTCAAATTTTGCTACTACAATCTGTTTTGTTAGGTGAAACTTGAGATTTCATTTACAAGTGGAAGTTGCTCAAAAAGGCAGGAGTTCCCTTTCCATGTTACTGTTATACTCTTGAGCCACTACCCTCACTTAATTCCTGTAGTTAGAGTTTAGCTCTAATTTAATCACCACCATTTATATGTATGGAGTATCGAGAATGGAAGCAGGCCTATGCAGTTGGCTCCTAAGACTGGTCAGATCTAGGAACTCCACAGAGAGAGAATTCGTGGTGCATCTGTAAGTGATTTTCAACCCCATGAGCTCCCCCACCATCCTAACCTTCCCTATCTCCTTGAATCACCCCTATATCTGGCTTCTGTTTATGTGTAATGACAGGTGAATCAACAGAAATAAGTTGCTTGTAGATGATAAAGCGGTAGAAAAAAAGAATGAGTTAAAGTCTGACCACCAATCTCTCTGATGTCTAAATCCATGACGAGTTTAACTCCTATAGGGACAATTACATGTTAAAAGCACACTAATTCACGTGTATTGCGTAGCATTTTCAATTTCTCATTGGTCAGTCCTATCCTTCTTCAGGATATGGGAAAAAAGACAATCGGATCAGCCAACTGTTCCTACGATACTTCTCCTTAGAAATTAAATAATACTTGATTTATTCCAAGTGAAAACCTTTTTAAGAACCCGTTTTTCCTCCTAAACAATCAGGATTCGGTTGATGTGGATACTTACTTTGTTTACTTGATTTTGTAGGGATTGTTAGTTCTTTTGTTTCTTTCATTGATATCTTTTTTCCCGCTATTTCATTATAGATGGCTGATAGATACTCTTCAGGAAGATCTTTACTGTCATTAATACCCCTATTCATCTTAATGTACTGTTCCTTCGTCATTTTATTTTTAACCTAGGAATGAAAAACCATTATAATTTCTAAAATTTAACATAAAAATACTCATGTAAGAGAATTTATAAATGCTTTGAGGACAGGAACTAGAAAATATTCAACAAAGCAGACATTAAAATGAAGAAAGGAAGTCGCAGAAAAAGAGCAAATTGTAGCAAACACCCATCCTGGCATATACTAATTCACCCTGCTCTGATGTGAGCAGGAGTAATTTATAATAAGAAAACAGGGAGACTGAATAATAAAACTGTTTTTGCCCAAGGTTTACGAGCTCTAGCCAGAGTCTTTAAAGAAGGACCATGGCAATTATTAGAAACGCATGTTATCAAAAAGATCCAAATCATAGTTCAGAAGAACATAAATGAGTTTGCCAATGATTTAAAAACTGATTTTCAATAACAGTGGATGTAAGAATAACAAGAGCTGAAACTTACTTAAAATCAGGTAACAATCTCACTGACTCATCATGACAACTGAATATTAGGTGATCTGGGCAAAGCATTCTTGGAACATTTTGTTTTAAGAGTACCCTGACCAGGAACGTCCTACCGCGTAACTTGATAAATCGGTGGAGTACAAATCTGTGGTAATAAAAGATGGTAGCCCTGCCACCAAACTTGGAGCTAGCACAGCCAGAATGTTTATGCTTTATATCCCCCAAAACCCAGATGGACAAAACCCAAAAGTCTTATGATGTCTCTGAAGATACATTTATTTAATTACATATATTCCTAGCACTTTTCATAAAGAATTTAAGGCACCTCTAAAGATAAGGCTCCTGTAAATTTACAAGAGGGTACACAGAATAACAATCAAGTCAGTCATCAGAAGTTTGCAAAAGTGAATATAGAGAAACCAGAATATCCAGAGGATATAATTAGGATACAAACATTTGTTTAGTTCTGATTACTCTGCAAAAAGGTCTTTCTAGAATGTCAAAATGGGTGAGAGGAGCAGTTTTCCTACAAGAAAATAAGGCAAAAACATTACCATAAAATTTTTCAAGTGTAATTTATTATTACTCAAGGGAAAAAAGCTCTAACATTTGAAAACTTTAAGAACTTATCTTGAGTCACAGCACTTAAAAAACATTAAAAGAAACAAAGCCATTTTACCTAAGTTCTGGTGAATATTAAAAAAAAAAAAAGACCCAAGGATACCAAAATAAAAGACCACACAAGTGCTGTCAATAAAAGGGTATAAAAGAAGATTAACATCATCTGGAAATTCTGAACATGCCATAGTGTTTATCATGCCATCAGAGACAAAGTCAAGTTTCAGCAAAAAACCTGAAGCAGCAATATAGGGTATTTGTTTGTGGATATGGGTTGGGAGGTTAGGGGTGGGAGCTCCCAGCAAGTGTGAGAAGGGAATACATTGATTTCATGCACTGCTCCAACAGAATACTTCTGCCACAGTGGGATTCTAGTAGTACAAAACATAATCTAACTTTTGTTCACCTGCTTATCTTTTATGGAATACTTTACTCTTGACTTTGACTCTCATGTGCTTAAATTAAGCTGTGTCTAATTAAAATTTATGCTTAAATCACTTAAAATCAATTGTTACCACTGTGTTTAATGAAGATTAATAAACAAAAAATTAAACGTGTTCTAAACACATCTCAAATTTTTTAAAAAATTCATTGACTCACACTATGTATAAAAGCTAGTCTAACTGTAAATATTCTAGATGAAAAAGGGACTAAAAAACTTGTTAAATTCACCAGTATTTTAACTCTGAAAACAACTAAGAGTGAGGAGGAACAATTTTAAGAGATTCCTTTAAAGTTACCTGTGTTTTTTTTTTAAATGATGTCATTTGTTAGTTTACAGAGTCCTGAATCATAAATCATATGGGGTCATGATTATGGATTCAGTTTTCTAACAGGCCACTTAGCTTCACAGGAACTCATCTACTGTTCTACAGCGCAGACTGCACCTGAGCACACGATGGTGGCCAGCAGCCCGACAGGGCATGTACGACCACAAGCAGCTACTCCTACCGGACTAGGACTTCAGGCACATGTTCTATGGACAGAACAGTGCCATTTCAAGATAACGCTCCCTAACTGGTAAGTGCTCAGAAACTTAACAATCTGGGTACTGTCAAAGGACATTAAAGGATGTTTTAGGATTTTTTTCAAAACAACTTACACAAGGAAGTATATATATAAGAAGATACGATACAGATGCATGTAACATTGGTACAGAATGAAATTTGTTAAAAAATATGACATTCTAAAAACGAAGGGAGACAGTGTAAAATGTAATTCTACTTTTGGTTTAGACTGAAAAACCAGACAGAAAGCTCTTGATATGAAAATATCCAAGTAAGTCAGTATCTGTAGACTGCTTTATAAAACCAGGGGAAGTACCATGCCAGGTAACGTAAGCTCTGGAAGTGAGCTTGCTTCTACTATGCAGCCAGTAGGAAGCCAACGGCAAATTTTAAATTATTGAAGTCTTAAATGATTCTTTTTAAAAGGTCTGTATAAAATCAAAACCCTTGGTAAATGCAGTTGTTGAGTTCTGGGGTTTAAAACTAAGAGTGACCCTAGGTAGACAGTCTCCTCATCATACATTTGGCATATCCTTTCCATATCAACCCTGCCTTAAACATCTCAAAACACACACCAAAAAACCCTCTATACTGCAAAATTTAATCTCAAACTTTACAATTTTTCCAATACATCTCAGATAGTAGTAAGTATTAGTCTATTTCTCATCCTAAGAAGTATTAAGAAAATTCTTGCAAATAGATTTATAAAGATAATTTTCTTCAAGTTTTTTGAAACTAAGCATAAAATACCTAAACTTTAAAAATAATGTTTTTGTTAGAGGATACCAGAAATCAAGTGACAGTTCCTTAACATGGGCATTTAAGAAAGAATTATGAATTTCATGAAGCGAATGAAATTTAAACATTTCCTGGCTATCTGATATTTTTAAATTATGGTAAATATTTAGGTGTGATGGTATTGTGGTTATGTTTAAATACAATATTTCTCTTTCATATATATATATATTCATATATATATATATATATATATAAACATAAATAAATAGAGATGAAATGATATGATACCTGAGACTTGCTTCAAAATGATCTGAGGGAGAAAAGGGATATAAATGAACAAGACTGGCCATGACAGCTGTGGAAGCTGGGTGATGGGCACATGAAGGATGCCACTACTCTAAACACTGCGGTTTAAGTTTGAAATGTCAATAAAAAAAAAAAGGGATGGTTTATATGTGTGTTTTTTCACGCTGTAATAAGCATAGGCTGAACTATAAGCATGTTCTTAGATTAAAATTTGCCTAAAGCTTTATACAGCAGTCAATCACGAGAAAGACAAATACAGACGTTACCAGTATCTAAAAGTCCAATTAGAAGTACCACCAGAAACTGCATTTGTAAAATGTACACCACACTAAATTAAATATCCCAGTTTGGTAACTGGTTTAATGAAATTAAAATTTCAACTATTACTTGTTGAATTCAAAATAATTTATATAATTTGTACTATTTACTGTAAAGCTGGCTTGGAAGAAAACATACCTGTGGGCTGTGGAGATCAGTGGTCAGCATGATAATGGAATAAGCCAAAACATAAGCAGTATCTGCACTAGCGAAAAGGGTTTGTCTGGAAAAATAAGTGTATCATGTTACAAACTTTTATTGTTTACAGTTATTTAAATAGTTCACCTCAAATCTCGTATCACTTTTAATTTTCTCTTTCAGGATTTCTATTCTACCTCGTAATTTTTTATGGAACTGTCTCATCCCTTCCAGATCACAGACAACTTGTTCCCTGGGGCAGGGATTATGAATCACCCGATGCTCCCCAGAAGAATGTCTTGGATGTGGCTGGCCACCAATTAGCACTTGAATATGAATCTTGCTTACCCTTGGTTGCATTCTAGGTATCTTGCAGCAAATTTTTCCATCAATCGATCAATTTTCTGAGCTTCCCCTGGAAGACGGAATCCTTCCAGAAACATACGAAGGGCTGAAACAAAATCCTTTCCTGAAAAGTCATGTTGGTCCACATATGCATACATGACTTCTTTGTTAAATTTATCATTATCTCCCAGGAATTCACCCACTTGAGTCTAAAGAAGAAAAGATAGAAACTGATATCCTAACGGAATGTTACATTTTCTGCATAGATATTTAAAAAGCAAAAAATCCCAGAAGATCCACAGGTTTTAACTACAGGATTAACTACTTCAAACATGAAGCTAGAAGTTAAACATACTAAATATGTTTATTAAAAACACAACAAGATACTCTTTTGAGTTTAGAAAATTAAAAAGCAAAACTAAGAATAACTAGGTTATTTTTATATACTTAGAAGGGCATTTTAAAGGGGCAATAATACACATTATTATTAATTTAAAAAAGGATTTTATAGAAAAGGCTAGACTGAAGTAACATGGTATTCTTACAGAGTCTAATCTTTCCTCTTGATGTAAGAATTGGGCAATATCTTCAGGTGTAGTACCAAGCATCCCTTGTTCTTGGAGGTACTGTATTCCCCTCTTTGGTTTCTTAGTAAATCTAGATGATGTTAAAAGTTAATAGGAACATTAGAAATAGAAAATGATTTGTATTCCTTGAAGAGATCTTAAACTACAGTAAGTTAACTTTCTGATAACACTTAGAAAACAGGAGTTTACTTAAAATATTCAATGCTTGAATGTACAAAAGCTATTACATTATGCAAAGCTTTTTTTTCCTTAGAAAAGAATCTCAAATGGAAGGCGATCTGTATCCTTGTACAGACTGAGGTAATGCCATGTAGTAGATAAACTTTGAGTAAGGATATGAATACTAAGTATCTCATACTTTCATTATCCTTAGTGCTCAAGTAATCTTGGCTTTTTCTCCTTACATCCATTGATTAATTGTAAGTCTCCTGCTTTTAAAAGACAGAACTTGAATTTTGGTGACTGTTTTAACCACAATCTGAAATTAATTCCTTTATTAAAAAAATCTTTAGATACCCAGTGTCTTTGAGATAAAATCCACACTGAACAGACTGACACACAAAACCTTTCTCAGTATAGCTTGTTTCTCTCTCATCCCCTCTCTTCCATCTCCTCCCATATACCTCTTCTCATTCCCTAAACATAAAGCATTTGCAGAGTCTGTCTCCTCTACACACCCTTTACCTGCCCTACTCATTGAGGAACTCTCCTTCATGTTTAAAGATCCAATTCAAATGTCACTTCTTTGTTTCCAAATCATTTCCTTTCCACTTTTATTGTTCCAACAGTTACTTTGGTACCTCTCACTTGTCACCTGGGTACTGCAAGAGTTCTTAACTGGTCTCCCTATCTCTTGTTTGCTCACGTTCTAATTCATCCTTCAGGCTGCTGGCAGAGCCATCCTTCCAAAACAGAAATCCGATGCTGCTGTTCCTCTGCTTAAAATCCTTCATCAGGCTATGCCAAGAAGAACAAGACAAAACCTTCTTCACATGGAGAACAAGGCCTCTGTAATCTGGATCCAATTCAATGCTCTCATCTAACCTCCTGCTACTACCGTCCACCCCTGCCCCTGCCACGCTGAACAACAGTCCTCCAATGTCGTCCTTTCCTGTGTTGCTGCACATGCCATTCTTTGTCTGAAATGTCCTTCCCTGTCCTGTCCTCCTAACGATACCCCGTCAAGTCCTAATTAAACCACTGCCATGTACATAAATTAAAATCAAGCATTTTTCAATGAGATAAATACCATCTCTGCTCTCTAGAAACTCTCACTCTAATGGAAGAAATACAATTTTAAAAAATTAAAACAGTAAAAATGCAACAAATAATGTATCCACAAGGTGAGGATATAGCACAGCAGACGAAGTGACTAATTAACAGGGATGATCATGATCTATTTCCTGGGAAGGTGACTGTGAAACTGAGCTCTGAAGAATGATTACACCTTTCATTAACAGTAAGAAAAAAAATCCCAGAAGAGAGGAAGAGGTCATACTAATACATGAAAGCATAAAACAACATGATATAACAAATGGCTCTGCATTATTGAAAAAATGAGGTGAGATAAAGAAGTGGTGGATGACGTTGCTTAGAGTTCAGCAGATTTAAATCATGAAGGGTATTATATGCTATTACAAGAAGCCGTGGCTTTATTCTCTAAGAGCAAGAGAGGGAAGAAACAGAAGCAGATTTTCACTCAAGAAAGAGAACTGTAAGTGTAAGAAAAGACTAGAGAATAAGTAAGACCAAAGAAAGGTAAGCCAATTAAAAGATTACGGACACACTGAGTGTGAGAAGCTATACAACGTCCAGGGTAGATGTCCAACAGACAATTACAGATGAGTCTGGCCTCCAGTAGAGTTGTCATGTTAGAAGTTAACATTTGGGAGTTGTGAGACGTTAGCACACCGTAGCTGAAATCATGAAAAAGAACACAGTCATCTAGAAGTCACAAAATAAGAAAATGGCTAAGGAACAGAGCCTGGAAATGCTAAGAGGTATGCCCAGGAAAAGGAGCCCCTAACAAGACTGAGAAAGCGTGCTCAGAAGGTAGGAGGGCAGGACATAGTGATGTCATGAAAGAAACAGCTGTGGAAGAGTATTCTGGAAGAGTAATCAACACAAAAGAAAGTGTGAAGCAGAAAGCAAGCCCAGTGGCCAGAGGAGCACTGGAGGCCAGGGGAGACGTCCACACTGAAGGCCTATAATGACTCTTTCACTCCTAAGTACCTCAAACAAGAGCTGGCCTATGTCGGCAGCATTCTGTACAACACTCCATCATGGACTTCACACAGCACTATTAAAAAATGTATTAGGTTGTAATATTGAATATAAGGACCAATACTTTCATGGTTCTTGGCACAGTCTCAAGCATCAAATATGTGTTTGCTGAGTGACCAGTAGAATTTCAGTATGAATATGTGTTTACACATACTAGACCTTGAGCCCCCAGAAACAAGGTCTATCTCATTCATCAAATTTCCCCAGACTTTGCATGACGTCTGGAACAGATGGGGCTTTTTGATAAATATTGACTGAAAAGTTAGTACAAATGGAGTATTGATGGCTATTTCCTGAGGCAATTTTTGAAATTTAATAATTTTATGACAAAGAATATATGTACATTTTATCAACATTTTTTCTTTTATGTTAACACTGAAGAAAGTACACTTGAACATTCACCAAAAGCCATTGCTTAAGATTCAGGAAGAAATGCTTTATAGCAGAAGTAGCAAACCAAGTAAACATACAAAGGATTTTTTTTTTTAATAGTTTAGATTTGTGGAGCTAGACTCATGGGAAAACTCTAGCAAGTTCAGATGTCCTTATAGCATCTCTTTGAAAGAGATGGGCGCCAAGAGGTAGGAAAGAAGCACGGTACCATTCAGACAGGAAGTAGTCCAGGAGCGGGCTGACAGCACACAGCTTATTAGGAAAATTGATTTCACAAGATCAGGGTCTGGAGGAGCAGCCAAGTTGGAAAAAGAGGCTACTGACACATGAAAATGGAATCAATAACAATAAATCAGCAATGAGCAGCACATTTGTAGCTGAAGGGAGAAAACATAAAACCTATAAAGAAGCAACAGTAGCTGGAGAAGTTACATACTCCAAATTTTTTGAGTTATCACTTGCTTGGGAAATATAATGGGGGGCGCGGTTTACACCCAAGCTGAATGAACAACGCAAACTCGCACAGATGGCGTTCGTCAACAGCACACAGAACATGGTGCAGAATTAGTGTGCATCACCAGGTCTTTTTGGGCTAGACTACAATGAACAAGGGGAGGTGAATAAGGAGTCACTAGAAGCCTTGGATTCAGGAGAGCCACACCCCCCTTTTATTTACTGAAGGGCGGTAACAGGAACGGACTAAACATAATCCGAAGATGGAGAGAACCCAGAGAAAGGGCGGCACGGTACCGGCAGAGAGATACTCAGTAACACTCCTCCTTAAAATCAGGTACTCACAAATCTATCCCTTGTTCTATTATTTCTTTTTGCTGCTTTAGGACTTCAAACTGTTCTGGATTATCAGTGCCAGACATCTGTGTACTATAGCTGCCTATTCCTGATGACGACGTTGACTCCAGGGAATTCAAACTTCCGTATCTGTTTATTGTCTCAGGGTGTTTGATTTCACTTGTCTCTTGTTCTGGGGGCTTTTCCTGACCTGCAAGTAGAAAAACTGATTCAGTAAATTATTCTGTTAAAGGAAGAAAAGAAATTCTCAAGTAAGGCAAGAGATTTCAGTGTTGCTTAGATATCTATTTAGCACAAATAACATATGAGGTACCCTAACAGATAATACATATTTGGGTATTAAAACACACTGTAATTAGTAGGTGTACAATTTGCACCGTTAGGAGTTCTTTTCACAACCACAGTGCTGACTAGCCACCTTGTTTCTGCTCTCAGCTCTTGTCTCACAAGGAACAGTTCTCCCTCAAAGGAACACTGGACTAAGGTAACACCAGGGCAGCACTGCAGCTGTGAGCTTCTACCTCTGCTTTCTGAGTAAGGGCAAATGTCAAACATAAATGAACAATTCAATCTTCTTAAAGCATTCTGGCTTTCATGTGTTTCTTCCACAGCTATCCTGTAACAAAGCTGTTATGAATATGCTTCACTTTACTATGATATTGAAAATACTTCTAGGAAGATTTAGAAAGAAAAGAAGCTTCGATAGCTAAGCTGGGAAATTCACAGTGTTAAGTTTGTGATTTAACTCCATCAGCTAAATGAACAAAGATGTCGCAAAACTGGCTTAATGGCATCTGCAGTTATTCTCCAGAGGATCATTTACTTGAACAATAAAGAGCTGTACTCAAACGTCGCCTCACCAAGAGTTGTCTGAGAGTTGGGATTCACGTACTGATCCTTACTCCATTCGACCATGCATTTCAAAATTGACACTAAGCATTCTAAACCTTTCTTCCTCAGGCTCAGTTCCTGCAAAATAATTCATAAAAAGGATAAAAACAATACAAAAAAATCCTTTAAGGACAACACATAGCTCCTCTTTGACAAAGCTGAGATCTGAAAATGTTTTTAAAGCTCTTACCTGAACATTACTCATACCAAGCTCCTGACTGCCCCGTCCTTGAGCAATTTTTGATAGATCGTTTACTAGTCTCTCAAAGATGTTTGCTGCATTTAAGTCACAATCATAGTTTACATAAATATCCACTACACTCTGAGCATCTGTAACAATACAATGTTAATTTTAATAAAATGCATCTAGCATATGAATATATATTTGGCCTTTAAAATAACTCACAGTAAGAAAGAGGTTATAAAGAAGGATAATTTCAAATACCTGCACAAATCCTTGTCAAAGTCTGAATAACCATCCATTTGTGGTCAAATGAGCTGGTAGAAGTTTCCAAAATATATAGGAAAATTTCTTTAAAGAACACCTGTGATTAGGGAAAGAAACTTCTATTTAAAATATTATTTATATGTCATACATGTGATCACCTTTTAAATACCCCAAAGCTATGGAGCAAAGATTAGGATCCAGGGTCCTGGAGTTCAACTCTTTTGGAGTTCCATTTCTGAAACATCAGGACTTAAATTAACTTGGTGGGTCACTTACGGTGACCCTTGCAGTAAAAGCACCGCACTTCACATTGCTGTATTCTGTTATCACACAGCCACTACAGAAGAAATCTGCAAAAATTTGAAGTCCCTCTGGGAGATTATTTCTTGAATATATTTACAAAACTAATATAACTCCTATTTCATTTTTAAATCCCTGGCCGAGCATAAACCATATTCTGTTCATCAGCTATATTTTTCAGACATAATACTGTACAAGCCTAAGTGTTTTTAGATTTAAAAGTAGCTGATGTAATCTACCAATAAAGAGGATCTAATTCTCATACACTTGTTTTTAATTACTCACACAAATGGAAAGCTCTACTGTCTGAAAACTACGAACTATTTCTCACTGTTATTTACACCAAATAATGTCGAGCACAAAGGAATTAATCAACCTAACTAAATAAATTTCAACTTAAGAGTTAAGAATTTTCAGATTCAAACTTATTTTGGAAAAATGACTATAATTTAAGAGGGGATAAGTGAAAAAGAAAACCTAAAACAACATATTAACATTTATGGAACATATATATTTTGAATCCCAAAATTCGTATTTTTAATAAGACTACTAACATCTCCTCCACCCAAAATGGGTCAGGTACTCTTGTAAAGGGTTTTTCTTTCACAAAATTCAACACATTTCTATTATTTGCCTATATAAAATGTCAGTATTTCCTCTAAGACTGTAAACTCTTAAGAGCGTAGAAACAAGATCCTTCTTGCTAAGCACTGTGTCTACACTGCACGGCATACAGTAGGCATTCAATACATATTTATGGCCACAGTTTCCAAACACTGCATCAAGGCACCCCAGAACGCTGCAGCAAACTCAGAAGGATGCCATGAGCATTTCTGAGAGAAAAACATCTGTCAGATACCTCAAAAGATTGTTCACAGCTTCAACATCAATTAAATCACACTACACTCTTTTCAAAGACATCATTATTTTCACAAACCTGGGTTTTTAGTGGTTGCTATGGTAAGAAGCAGGTACTGCATTAAAATTATTGGAGGAAATCAGGGTGGGCAGTGTCCACTTTGATTTCAAGTTCTAAGAGTAGAATCCTATAGGCCCCCACGTTCCAGCAGTCAGTACCTGTTGACTATTTAAGACTGAAATAAAAACATTTTTCCTTTCAATTTACATGTGCCCTTTTTTTTTTAATGAAGACTTCATTGTTAAGACAAATACTTGTTAAGTTATTTGGACCTAACTGCTTAATAAGTGGAACTGTTGGGTATTTCTTTTGGAGTATGTGCACCATGAAAAGATTAGAAAATCTAATTGTGCCACGGATCAAGAGAGTTTGAAATTCTGATTTATGGAATAAGTAAAAAAAAACAAAAAACAAAAAACATAATTTAGAGAAAGACAGGGGAAAAAACTTTAGCTATTGTCTATGGGTTATCAAAATGCACTAATAAGCAAAAGCCTGTTATTGTAATCTAAGACACCTTGTCTATCAAAGGGGCTCTAAAATTTAAACACGAACTTATAAAGATTTATAGAGCACCTATGATGTAATGTATGTAAAACTACAGTACTGTCACAAGCACTTCGTCTTCACAGAATAGATACTCTCTTAAAAAACTGTGTATAAACTGTATTTTCTGATCTAAGTTAATACCCAGGGGAAAACTGCATTATAAAAACTCTGCAGTGAATATTCTCTTAAAATAGATCTTCATGTAACAACAATCTCAGTTTTGTTTTGTAAATTGAGGTTTTGTGTATTGGGTTTTCTCTAACTGGAACACAGCTCATCTTGTGTTTGAGTATGTTCAGTACTTCCAAAAGTTTATCTACATTTATCTTGTTTCACCCTCATGATCTTCCCATAAGCGACAATGGAGAGTGAAATAAACCTGATCTCTTTAAAAAAAAAAAATCAGACCACTACTACAAGAATCTGAATGAGAATCTACCATCTATGAGCAGACAGAAAATTTCTTAGAAGTACTTCCTTTCAAACTCGTGCTTAGAAAATTTTTATGTATCTAATTTACTTAACAGAAACAGTAATCCCAATTTAAATGACTGTTGTGATATTTGGTTCTACAAGAACTTTTATTTCACCTACAGTCATCTAAATAGTGCTTTAAGAAGTAGAGTCTCAGAGAAGTAACTGGATGTACAAAATCTTCCAAAATTCTCTAGTGTTAATTTAAATGCATCATCATCAAATGAAACATATTTGGCTTGTTATAGAAGCAGAAGTTCCAGAAGTTTTTTGAAAGTCTCTTTTATTTGTAGTTCCTGAAGATAATGAGAAAAAATCTAAAAATAGTAACTTCCTAGTTTTGCTTTGCATTATTTTAACAGACATATGGCAAACTTCTAAAATTTGACAGCATATATACACCAGAAATTGTTTCCCATCCAAAAATAGGACCCAAATTCTAAAACTTTTCACTTAAGATACCAAAGCCTTACTCTGTCTCATTCCCATAATTTCCTACATGAATTTTAATATATATTGTAGAACATTAATAATAAAGGATTAATATAAAAAATTCTGGGAAAATAGTAATTTATTCTTTCTGTGAGCTAATGAATTATTAGTCTTTAGTTAGGATTAAACATAAAAATTAAAATGCAATCTGCATATTATAGCAAACATAATATGAAGGAAAAAGGTGACTAGCATTAAAGTGAGTATTTCTAAAATATACAATGTCCCAACCAAAACAATACTTTCACAAAGGACAAGTTGGGGAGAAAAAAATCCATTAAGTCAGTGAAACATAAAGTACTGTTTTTAAATACTGAATTGTTCTGAAGATAAAAACAAAAAGATTATGAATTGGTACATGTGAACAATACATGCATACATGGGTGGGAGAGTCCCTAATTTCATTTTGCTAAGTCTCTTGAAATATTTTTGAATGACATAATTGTTACTCTATTTCCAAAGATGTTGAGAGAAAACTTCAGGAATGTAATAGATACATTAGAAGAAAACAAATACAAAAGTTAAATTTTCAAATGTCCTAAAATATAACCCCCCAATATAATTCTTCCAATCACCTCTTTAAAGTACCAAAGACTTAAATGGCTTAAAACCACGTAGACAAAGTATTTTTAGAGCTTTCTTTTAAGATAACCAAATTCTGTATTACATATCATATATACAATGGCAAAGTTATTTGTGAGGACCAAATTAATTCAAGACACTTAAAAATCATCCAATCAACTAATATAAATTCCTCTAAGGCAGGAGCTATGTCTTGATTTTGCATTCTTAGGCCTTACCCAGGGCTTATTACTCTGTAGGCACACATTAGTTGAATGAAAAAAAGAAGTACATGGCAATACACACATATTATTTCACATTCTGAAAAACTTTCCAGTGTGTTAATTATATGATTTAACAGGAAACAAATGCAATATCCAACAATGCCTAAATGCAGAACATACCTCAATCTGCATCTTCAGATGCGTCTTGAAGTTTGACAACAAAGTAAGAAATATGGAAAGAGAAAGCTCAAAAACCTCTGGAACAGATGAAACTCCATTTTTTGAGAGTGCAACACATAGATACTGCTTAATAGCATTAATAAACATCTCATTTGTCCTGAAAATAGGTCCTGCGTTCTGCAGAATGGATAGAAGTAACTGCAATGAAAGAATCTTGGATCGTAACTCATGAGACCTAAAATATAAAAAAGAAGGCACAATATATGGACACGTTTAGCATGATGATGATAACAGGTTATTTCAAAGAAATTTTCTATCCCACGCAATTTCACAAACCTTTCAATGGAGAGGAACCGAAAACTCTATAACATAAAAATCAAGTATAGTACATGAAAAAGCTTAGCCAGTAATAATGGGCAGCCACGGATGCTCCCTTCCACCACCTAACTTCATGAACTTGTTAAATGGAAAAACCACCACTCACACATATTTAACATCAACCTACTATTTCTTTGGAAGAGAAAAAAATTTTTTAAAGATTTATGCCTTGGTCTTTTCTTTCACAAGTATATTTCACTTTTTAGAAATCATCAAGAATTTCTCAGATTAAAGACCATATTTAATATAAAATGATTCCAAAGTACTTTTTCCTAGTTATGCTGCTTAAAAATCCTAAACACTAATATTTTTTAAAGTTTTGGTGCATTAACAAGTTAAAGCATTGCTTCAAGCTTATTTTTTCAGTAACCATTTACAGCTCTCTGGAAAAAAATACATACAAAGAGGCTAAGTTTTAGAACACGTATCTCTTAATAGCTTACCAATTTATTCTAAATATTTCTATAATGAAAAACTGGAAAACACATTTCAGCTTAAATTTAAAAATTTTTTTCTGATCAATATTCTGTGTCATATTTCTAATCACCATCTAGAATTTTAATGATCAGATCTCACAAATATAATTTTTCTCCCATTGAGACAGGATTCTTAAGTCCAAAAGAACAAGGAGATTGATCCCAGGCAACTTTTCAAATACAGGACACGTTTAAATGTTCTAACAGTTGTTTCTTTTCTTGATTTATTCCAAACTGCACTCAGTCACTTTTATACCATACAGTAAATTTAACTGCTCTTGATTCTTACCTCAAAAATTTTATGGTTAAGTGTCAAGTAATTCAACAACCTAAGAAATTCTAGCAAGGAATATTTAATTTTATGTAAATTGGAATTACAAAAAGTACTGCCATCTTTGAAATGAAACTGGAACCAATTAATACCATGGCTCATTAATAAACAATCACGTTTCCAAGATGGCTATGCCTCTTAATCTAAGAATACATATGTGCAGCTAATATAGTATTACCCACCCCTTTCCCCCCCCAAAAAGCTTAGATAAATCAAGGTAGAAAGAATGAGAGCTAAGACTCTAGGAATAGCTACAGGAAAATACGGACTGGGCCAAGTATTCCCCCTTCATGCTGGGGTGTTTCAAGGCTTATACATTACTACTACTTCCTACTATAGCTCACATTTATCACCCCTTTTACTTAATTCCAATAGTAACTAAAACCTGCAGCCTATCATTCTTTAACACATGAGTTTTATTCTAACTATGTTTTGTCTTTGTATCTCCAGCATTTAACAAAATGCCTTGCTAATATGGGCTCAAAATAATTAATGGATTTATTCATGCACTCATCTAAACATTAAGCATCTACTAAATATAAGATATTAATCAATGAAGAAATGATCAAATGATTGTCTTATAACACAACAAAGTATACTTTTGATAGGCAAAAGAAGCTGGAAATTTGAGGTCTGCAGTTTTTCATGGGGTAGTTTCAAACTATGATTCAAGCTTACAGAATATTTCCTGGATGTCATCTTTGCAAGGTCATAAAATATAAACAGATGCAAAGACAAAAAAATTATATAACTAAAAACTCATTGATTTTGGCAAAAAGTCATTCAAGATAGAAAACCATATAATTTTGGAAAAGGGACAGTTTCTAGGGGTAGGAAATTTGATCTCTTTCAGAATTCAGTTCCAATGTTTAATGACTCTGACAGTCTAAAAAGACCTTCTTATGTTCAAACAAAATTTCCTAGTAACTGATTTAAGCTTGCTAATAAGTAGGAGGATAATTTACTCCTCCTCCTAAGAATCTTTTGTTAATATTAATAATTGCAGCTCTCCAAAATGCACTTATTTTTCAGAGCTAAATGAACCCCTCCCCACCACTACAGTACTCCTCAAATCTCATATAATTCCTTTTCATCTTTGGCATGCTAAAGAATTCCCTCTTCTCTGTTTCTAGCAGTTTTTTAAGTCACAGTTTTTATATTTGATCTGGGAAAACTAAACATCTGAGGTTTTTAAGGTCAATAACATTTTTAAATCATGGCAAAAATAGCCTTCAGCACTAAAATCAAATTCTTATTTTTTTCTTCAAGTAGGTCTTCATCAATTCCAAATAGAGATGTCAAGATTGTCATATTTTTTCCCTCATAATGAAAATAAGAAATTGAAAAAAATTTTAATATATTCTTATAAAACATACAGGGCATAATCAAGTTTACACTGTAATCTGAACAACCTTAATCCTTTTTCTGTAGAGTTTGTATTTTCAAAATACAGAAAAATCAATGAATTATATGTTTGATTCAAGATATGGGTCTACAAAGATTTTAGTTTTTGGCTTCTGGGCCTAAATTCTCACTGAATCAATACAATGTAACAAAATAGAACTATAGAAAATATAACAAATGTGGTTTCTGAAAGCTTACAAAATTTTTATTGTAACTGTCTCCAGTCTTCCCTCTCAGTTGACACTGAGAAACTGAAATGCTCTATACTTTTTAAAATGAATTTCCACCTATTTCAATATCCCTTTCTCAGGCCTTCTCCAAGGTTTCTCTCTCTAGAAAGTTCTCCTAAAATTGACATGCTATATAATACATCTCGTGCAACATCAGAGGGGCAGACCTCTCTAATAACTCCCAAACTCAATCTTAAGCAGGAGTTAGTTGCACTGTAATCATTTAAATTGAAAGATACTTGAAAATTTATGACTTAAATTGGCACTTCTCTACAGTTAAAACTAATATACTTGATGGGAATCATACAAGTGATTCCTATTTTTTTCCCTTTCCCTTAAGGGAGGCATTGGGGATTGAAACCAGGCCCTCACACATGCCAAGGGCATGTTCTACCACTGAGCTATATCCCCCATCCTAAGCGACTCTAATCTTGAAGTATTTCCTTCTCCCCATGGGAGAAAGTTATATTAGGGCATTTTCAGACCTTAATGAATATGCTATTATCTTTCACAGATTTACTTTTAAGATTTACTTCTCTTAGGTTTTATTAACTTTCAACTCTCAACTGGTAGCTTTCAGAAGCCTAGCATTAGGCTACGTGTAACAGGAGTACATTAGTTCCAATGTTACTTACTATGTGGAAATAATAATTCATTCAATCATTCAAAACTTGGTGAAGACCTACTATGTACCAGGCACAATTCTCTAATGCTATTGATGTGCTTTGGGAAATAGTGTAAGGTATCTATTTAATACTTTTGAAACTTTTTTAATATATTGTTTTTTTAAAGTAAAATATATTTTTGAAGGTCCTAAAAGACAAAATGAACAAAAGAAAATCCAAGGACTATCTTACAGTACGTAAATTTCAAGCTTAAAAAACTGCATTTGTCAGGCAGAGCAGCTGAGGACTTACTTTGGATCTGGTGGTCCATCTGACAGTGGCTTCATTGACAGTTTACACAATGACCTGAATACTAGAAAGGCGTCCTTTTGTAAAATGTGGGAAAACTTAGCACCAGGTGAAGGTCCTGAAGAATTTCCAGATTCCTAAACAAGTGAACATACCACATAAATAAAGACACTTGCCAGTGCAAAATCATTTCAGCCTTTCATATATTTTATTCAATTTAGTAATATGTGGCGTTCTATTAAAAGGGAGACCAGGTGAGAAATCCACCACATTTGTTTTCCGTTATTGTGACATACCACTCCCATCCCCAACAATAAATACCTTGAAAATGTATTCTTTTAAAATATTTTATTTCCTCTTTGCCACCCAACTCTTAAAATTTACCCAGTTCATACTATTACTAACAAAAACCTGCAAATCATGCCCTGACAAGATACCCCGTCCATGGCTTAACCTATGCTTTCCACTGTCACTGGTGTGTTTTATGCCTTTGTCCTACTGTATTTTTCATCTACTCTTGTGCAGATAGACATAAGACAATAGAGACTGTCAAAGCCATGTTCAAAAGATGTCAACTGATCAATGTCAACAAGCCAAGAATACTAACCCCTATGTATGGGAAGAGATTTAGGGTAGGATTCCCTTATTTAAAAAGATAAGGAAAAAAGACAAAAAAACATAAGGTAGGAAGGATGAGGAGGACCTATCACCACCATAGTATGGATTTCGTTGCAGCTCTGAACAAAGATAACATGAAGGTCTCTAGATTTTTACAAGTTCTTTCTCCTCCTAGTACACTAGAACGATCCTATAAATATGTGACAAGGATGTTCTTTTTTAAACATAATGTCAATGGTTGGAGGGTTGCAGGGAAGATGTAAAAACATGAGACATACCTTAGAGTTGGAAATTTAGTTATCAGTATTTTAAGGGAATAAACTACTCTGACTTATATCAATTTAAAAAAAAAACCTAAGTTTTTATTTCCCCAAACTGAAATCAGCCAGTATAATCAACTGGATATATTCACCACAAGGTGCTGGTAGCTTATCAGTTTATAAGATTAAGAGGGCATTTTCCCCTCTTTATACCTGAGTATCATTGGAAGAGACAGACAATCTGTCATCGGGTAAGGACGGTGTATATGCAACAGAAATTGGTGTGCCTGGAATTCCATTTGCTTGAATATTTTCACTGTCGCTACCATCCTCTATGGTTCCAATATTACCATCTGCACTTGCATTTACGGTAGTCCTTTCTCCCATATCTGAAACGGTAAGAATAAAAAACACACATACATATCTGACTTAACCAAGTGCACTGAAAAAGCATACACTATTTAAAATGAAACAGAGGCAGAAAGCGGTGTGAAGTCAGATACACTGGCACCATTTAAAGGTCAGCGTACTTACTAGTAAGTATGCATTTGGAACACACCCAAATATGATCCTTAAGTAGTTCTAGCAATGAAACACACTCAGCTGATGAAAGACTAACCAGAACGTGTCAAAACAGAGCTTACTTTTAGTCTACATTAGCATTTACTAAATAAACTGTTCTAATGAATACTAATGCCTTAAGATGTTAAAAAAAATTCCTCAAAAAAAAAAAATCCCCTTTTCAAGTAAGTTAAGGAAATGATGAAAACAGGTTTATTATAGCCTTTAATTTGCTAACATGTACTGAGTACTCTGAAGGGGATACACAATATGCAGTGTTTCCAAAACTTATTTTACCATGAGGCCCTTTCTACTTTTTTAGAGTATCTACTATTACCTCTAATAACATATATTCTTTGGAACACAACTATGGAAATAAAGGCCTAGACCCCTGTATTCTTAAGCATGTTACTCTGAGTAATCATACTTGTAATTAATATAAACAGAAATAAATGGCTTCTCATAGAACAAGCACAGATAATGTAAATAATACTAAGTTTCACAACTACTCTAGGTGTAATGTATATTACTTCAAAAAAGGACCACATACACGTCTATGGCCATAACTCAGTAGGTATCTGGCAGGAAACTGCTCCTTTCATGCTACCAATTAGAAGAAATTATAAGCTAGTATGAGGGAAATATAATGTCCTAGATTTTGGAGTATGAGAGAACCCTGTTTCAATCATATCTTTACCATCTAACTCAATAAGTTATTTCATAATCTTCTGCCTCAGTTTCTACATAAACAACAAAGACAATAATGTCTATGAGAAACAACCAAAACACATACACACAACATGTAAAGCACACAACTGGCTGTCAGTAAGCAGGAGCTATGAGGCTTTGCAGGCTGTATGGTCTTTGCTGCTACTACTCAACTTTACTTTTGTAGTGCGATGCGGGTTTTTCTAAGATTATAAATGAAACTGCAGAAAAAGGGAGTACTCTTCTATAATCTAAGATATTTAAGTATTTTTTTTACGCACACACTCTAATTTGAGAAAGACCTTGTATTTTTGCCGTTTTTTGTTCCACACATTATAAAAATAGTCTCCAGAGTCAAGTAATGTAAGGCAGAATAAACTAATTTCAAGTCAAATATACTACCTCCAACAACGATGTTCACCATTTCTTCTACAATGCTCTGTACAATGTCATGTGGCTTTTCCTCACAGTCATGGTTTTCTCCATCATATAATATATCATTTTTAGATAACGCTTTAAAAAAAAATTCAAAAAAAATTTTTTTAGTTTTTTGGAAACTTTTACTGAGCATTTATAATGAAAAGATCTCAAGAAATTAAGAATGAAAGAAAAAAATTAAATAGATACATGACACTAGAAGCAATTAGTTAAATATTCAACATTTATAACCAAACCGTATTTTAAAATCTCATAATTTCAACAATTCATTTGACAAGCTATTAAATGAATATTCAACTTAAGTGAGTTTTCTAGATTTAAGAACGAAAACTTTTAAAAGTATCCTGAATAAACATTTCTAACATGTCCCACACACTTATCAGGTAATATTAAATGTCATTTAAGCTTGTTTTGATTAATCAGGTTCATCAATAATATCAAGCTCCTTGCTGCTCTAATATAGTGAGGTCCTGGATGAGGCAGAGATGGGGCCATCTGGGCCCTTCCTTACTATTTCTTCCCCAATCGAATCTACATATCCAATGTAAAACTGAATTTAATAAGTAAAAAAGAGTTCATTCCCCAATTTAACATTAATTGAAAACAGATATAACTGCCAACTGGAACTTCTGAACAACATACAAGAAACTAATAAAATTTGACATTCTCAGTTAGCTTGTGTAGACCATTGCAGATAAAAATAGGATTTCCACTGGGTTTTTTGAAATGCTGAAAATACCTCAGGAAGGCTAAATTAGTACTTTAAGATGTTCTGGGATCTGGGACCCTGTTCTGCGAGCCATTGCCCTAAAGCAAGTAACATCAGACTGCATTTGAGCTAACAGTGCTACTGTCTACAAACCCATCTCCATCACACTACTATAAAGGACCACTGCTTATAACTCTGGCTTCCAGAAGTCTGTCCTCCCCATTGTTCACTGCTCCTAATCTACTATTTGCTGCAGAATTCCACAAAATACTGAATGCCACAGGAGAAATGTGATAAATAGGCATGTCAAATCAGTAGTTTTATTTTATAAAAATCCAAATACAGTAGCATTTAGATTCTTCTGTGGAGTAAAAATATGTAAATGTCTTGACAGATAATTTTTCCATCATTCTTAAGTTCTGTATTTCTGTGCCTTAGTTAGCTAAAATTACAAAGAATCTAAAAATTAAGTTTCAATGTAACTATACAGTCACTAAAAGTGCACAAAATGATTAATGAAATGAGTCAATTCTCATATAAATTATCTGACAGAAATAGATTAGAGTAACAGTGAGTAATGTTTATTACACATGGGAAATGACTAGAGAAGTTAACTGTTATGTTCAAAGTCACACAGCCAGTAAGTGATAAGAGATGTGACTCAGAGCAGATAATCTACTCCAGGGCAGGCACTCTTAGCCAAAGGCTCTCAGGCAGAATTTTCACTTTTATGAACTGTAGGGAGAAAAATACCTTTGAAAAGCCAAAATAATCACAAATACACCACAGGAAGTTATGTCTTATTTACAATTCTGTATCCTAAAAGGTACCTACAGTGGTACCAAGTACACAGCATATCTTCCATTCCTTGGTTTTCAGCCTACGTTGTTTCTCCTGTTGGGAAATTTTCTAAACTTTCTAGCTAGCCAATTCCTACCCTTATCCAAACAAGATTCATCTAAAACATCATCACTTTCTCAAACTCTTCTCAGCAGACTTATCCTGTGCATGCCACTTGCAGGTTATCACATTATACCTCATTTATACATGCCTGACCTTCCCGGCACACCACCAGCACCCTAACAGCGATGGCTAGATCTTCATCAGCTTTTTAACCCCAAGTCCTAGCACACTGCCTGGGACACAGTATGCCAAATGAATGTTTGCTGAGTGCATGGATGAAGAAATGAAGGAATAAATAAAGTTCCAGTTTTATCAGAGATTAGCCCTTTGACTACACACATCCCCTTTAAAAGCATGCAGTGAAAGTAGGGCAAATCTTGGCAAGGGCAGGTTAGGAAAATGTAAATCACATAAGCAGTACAGATTCACTATTAGCTTGAGTACTAGGAATGCCAGGCTTTTCAAAATTGTCCCTTTTAAAATAAATACTAAAAAATAAAATAAAATAAAATAAGTATTAAAGTACCATCAAAAATAGTAAAAAGTAATTCATGGCACTGTTAATATTTATGCCACTATTATGTTATGAAAAAGATATGGTTAAAAAATATCAAGAGCTGAAAAATACTATAAAAGTCTTTCCTCAAAGGAAAGTAAAAACACAAGTCAGATGAATTGTAACTAAGCCCTAACCATCCTAGTTCTATAAAACCACACTGGAAAGACAACAGAATTTCTATCATTTTTTTTGACACCAAGCTAAGGAGAAGCAAAGGGAACAAACTTACTCCCTGGCAGTTTTATAGAACAGCAAAAACTGGGAATAATGTTTGGGGGAAAAAAATGACTGCATGTGATTATTTTTAGAGAAATAAATTTGTAAAAGAAATAAATGTAATTTAATTTTTGTAATCTTGTCAACTTTTTCTTATAAACGAATTTACTCAGAAAAATACTGTCAGAGAACATCTAAATTTTATTGATTACTAAACATTAGGCTATAAAAATAAACAAGATATTTTTGTATGCCAGGTAGTTACTCGGAGAATTTCTTTGCATATTTAATTTCAGTACTTTTTTTGACAATATCTTGTGAACTTACAATGATTTATTAAAAGTTTCAGTCACATTCCAGAAAACCTTACCAAATGAATGGCCCTCTTGTTTGCTAGGAACTAACGTTCAGGTAACTGAGGTTCCTATATTACGTGCTAACAGACATTTATGACCCTCTTTTGTAACGTATCTCCTCCAAAGCAAGTCTATAACTCATACTGCTCATAAGATGCTAATGAATGCATAATATCAACAGACGTTTTGTGGGCTTACGTGAAATTAACTTTACCACTTAGGATGGAAAAAGTCCACAATTACCCCAATGTTTCTGATATCCATTAAGTCATACTACCTTTTCCATATTTCGTTACTAAAAACACATTTCTGGCATCCTTCCCTTACCACACCCTCCAACCCGTACTTAAAAAGATTACTTTCGGCTGCAGTTGCCTGATCAGCTTCAGTCTGCTCATTTTCTGCACTGGAAACATCAGATCCATTTTCAGGTTCTGTATCATCCTGAAGGCTTTTATCCACATCATTTGTATGGGGATCAAGGTCCCCTTCATGTTCTTGGGATATATGATCAACAGTCTGCGGTGGCAAGTATCTGAGTTGAGGTGATTCAGGCTCATGATGGCTTACTGGAGACTGCAACAGATGATGATGCTGTCGATGCCTTTCTTTTTCCATTTGTTTGGCTTCCTGCAACTAGAAAAAAAGAGAACATAATTTCCAATATTAGCAAAGTCAGTTGTCTAAATTTGGAGGGGTAATGTTACACTCAACTATAAATCCTTCATATAAGGTGCCACCTTGTCTCTAGGTGTAGAAACTGCAGTCCATCAGAAATAAAAAACAAAACATATTAAAGACATAATAACAAAAATAGTGGTTACTTCTTAGGGGGATAGAATTTGGCAAACAAGAACAGAGATGGAAGTCTTTCACTGTATGTTCTCTTTTCATTATTTTTGGTGTTTAACATGAATGTATTACTTAAACAAAATTAAAAACTAAAATAATTTTAATAACTTTAGAATGATAACTGGGTTGTTGCCAGTAGATTCACCTAAAATCAAAGTTTCACTAAGGGAGGAAAAAAGTGGACAAAGGAATAAAATACACATTCATTTTTACTTATATAGAGAGAAACAAAGTCTAGACATAAACATAAGAAACTAGCAATAATGGTTACCTATAAGGGGTAGAAGTTAGGAAGTGACCAAATTAGAAACAAGAATGGGTGGCATCTTTTCAGTGTATACCTTTCTGTACTATGTTTTTATGTTACCTCATCACGTGTCTTTTAATTAAAAAAATAAAATTACATTTAATAAATAAAATTGCAGTGAGTACCTAAATGCCTCTGCCCAGTCAGTCATCTAATAGGATTGAAAAAACTGTATCTACAAATGCTCTAATTTTATTTTAGGAGACCTGTCATTATATATATAACACCATGGGTAAAACTGGCTCACTTACAAGATGCTAAAAACAGTAACAATCAAGAACACAGTGTTTCATTTTTTAGCA